TTGTTCTGGAGAGGAGGAGACCTCTGTGGATAACTGGGCTCCCTACTTCCTTTGATTGTTAAACTATTTTAACATCTTTGGTGATGTAATGAAGCGGATGTATATTTTCTGTACTGATCAGGTTTGATGTGATCCAGTCGATGGATGTTCAGAAGACAAAGCGAGCAGCGACGCCCACACTTTATCTCCTCAGCACAGCCACAGCGGGTGAACAACACTCGACATTATCAGCGTCACACGAGGAAACGAACGCGGCCGCCCCGCTCTCGTTGTTCTGAGGGGGGAAGGAGAGAGAGAGACACTCACATCGTACTTGCCCAGGTTGGGTTTCTGTTTTCCAGCCAGGATCTTCAGAGCTGTGGACTTGCCGATACCATTGGTCCCCACCAGCCCGAGCACCTCACCGGGCCTGGGGATAGGCAGCCTGCACACACACACACACACACACACACACACAATGTAAAAACTGTCTATTACAGGTAGAAGTCGTCCATTTAAAACTGTACTGCAGTGAAAGTACATTAATATTAGTTAATCCTGATGCATCAACGTTGGAACTACTTTATTTACAGTCAGTTTAATCCAGTGGTTCCGAATCTAGGGGTCGGGTCCCTTCAAAGGGTCACTGGATTAATCTGAGGGACGTAGAAAAAGAAGAAGTCCTCAGACTCAAATTTGTTTTTGTTTTTGGTGAAATTCATGAGAGTTTAACTCTTTGGGCCTCTAACAAACAGTGAAGAGGGGAAAAGTGGATGTGAAAATGTGCTGAAGAGGAATTACTTACTTAATAACAAACAATCTGGATAAAAAACACAATACTGACATTGTGACATGAGCTCACAACAACAACAACAACCACCGCTCCAGTGTTGTCGCTTTCATTCAACAGTCTCCACATCAGAGAGAGAAAACAAGGGAACAAAGATTTCCAACAACCGTCTTCGGGGCTCGAGCGCCGCGCGAAGACGGTTCTGCGAAGGCGTTTGATCGGCGTACCGGTGCAGTTTGAAGGAGTTGGCGCAGTATCTGTGTGTGGTTTCCTTCTCCAGGTTGCTGGGCAGGTTGACGATCGACAACGCTCCGAACGGACATTTCTGTAACGACAGAGCGGCGTCAGGAGAGCCGGAAAAAAACAGAACACATGGCAGCAATCATTCTGTAAGACTCCATCGGAAGATTTAGTTGTTAATCCAGTTTGTCTGAGGGACAAATCACCGATCTAGAAGATAATATTCTACGATTTCTGACCACTGAAGATGATTTAACAGTCAGAAATGTGACTTACCTTGATGCAGATGCCGCAGCCTATACACAGAGACTCTGAGATCCAGACGATCTTACTCTGTGGAGTCACCTCGATACACAGCTTACCTGCAAACACACACACCAATCAGTTTCTCTGTCCTTAAAGACGAGCGTACGTTCAGGTTCAGGGACCGGGTGCGAGCGCCGCACTCACCCATTCGGACCACCGGGCAGCTCTTCTTGCACTCCTGACGGCATTTCTTCGGTTTGCATTTGTCGTGGTTGACGATGGCGATCCTGGTGTTTTTATCCGCCATGACGGAGGGCTGGAATGACGGACGCTAGCACCTGCGGAGCTGAAAGAGAAACAACGAGGCGTTATAAGGGTTATCTGGCTGGTTAACCTGAAGAAGAGGAGCACATATAACCATTAAATCCTCCTATTTGCACGCAGGTAACGGTGATATTCAGGTACCAGAGCTGACGGACTAAACGCACCGTTCACTCTGCTGAAGCAACACATTCAATTCTGAACAAAAAAACGCACAGCCTTTGCTTTTAACAAAGGGCTGCCACACATCTACGACCACATCCCCTCAGTGTGAACTGCACCGGCTCGCCACTGGATCCACATCTGACGGTTTATAGCTTTAATACGGATCAATACAGACACTGGTTTAATGGGGTTTGACTTTAAGGCCTGCAGGAGGGTGAATTGATGTGAATTAAACTGCTGCGAACCAGTCCAGTTAACGCTTTGCAGTGGTTTTGTAAGGAGAGTGAGTCACACCAGACTCCGTTTAAAAATCTGGCCTTTTTATTGTTTCCTCGCCACAAAACAGTCCAAGCCTGCTCCTACGTGACTGTAAGGCCTTTAACTATTCAGTGACACCCGCTTTTTCTATGCGGCATACGTGACAACACATAAAGGGAAACGTATTAGGAATAAAATTAAAGATTGTATGGTGGATTAGTCTGATTCTCTCAGCTGCAGCAGCAACGTGACGGGCGGTGGCGAGCAGCACTAAAGTTAGATTTGTCCTCCAATAACCTGCCGATCAATGACTCATTCATGAGCCGAATCAATCAATCAATCGTGAAGTTTGACAAAACACCTTTAATTGGGATTTTTATGCGTTTTTTTTTGTTAAAAAGGGAGAAAACCTTTAAATTGGTAAATTATTAAACGGAGTTCGGCGCACCATCTTTTTTTTTTTTGGTGCAAGAAACAACGTAATCTTTTTCCTTTCAGGGCTCCACTCTGCCAGCTGTTATAAACCCCCACTGTCTAACTACCCACCGGCTCTGTAAGTATATCTACACGTTAATATAACGCCACACCGGGAGTTACACCGGGAGTTACGTTACCGTTACGTACGCGCAGCAGAGCTAACGGTTAGCTCCCCGTTAGCAGCGGAGGGCCGCCGCACTTTGACAGCTGCTCCGCGGGCGAACAAGCGCTCGTTTTCGGGGCAATAAAACCCCGAAAAAACGAACAAAATCCCGGGCGCTGAGTTAACAACTCACCCCTCTTCGGCTCCCGTCCCCCGGCTGCGAAGAAACCCGACGAGAAACGACGTTCAGGGACAAATAATCGGGGTTGAAACTTCTTTTTTTTCCAGCAACGTGTTCCTCCTCTTGGAAGCCGGCTGGAAAGATGGCGGGAGACACGCACTCAGGACGCGACGCGACGCTGCCGGTGACGTCGGTGAGGAGCGACCCCCGCTAGTAAAAGTGGCGGCAGCAAAACAAAGCGGGTTTAAAACGTTATTTTTTATAGTTTTAGCCTCATTAGATGCACGGATACGACGCTTTAGAGGCTTTTGCTGACGCTACTCGTAAGTTTCTGCTTTTATTTCTGTTTTAAAGTGAGTTTTAGAGGGTTTTTGAGAGACTACGGTGACATATTAGCTGCTAGCGGTTAGCAACCAAACTCCATTAAAACGTGTTTGTTTGTTTATCTTCTTGTTGTGTGTTGTTGTTTGTTATTTCACTGCTTCACTGAGCACCGAACACCTGGGATCCACGTTTAAATCCAGTTAAAACGATGAATATGTTTAATATTCTCTGATTTTTGCCTCTTTTTTTAAATGCACCCGAGCAAAGCCTCGATGTTAAACATTAAACACATCTGGCTCTTTATGTAACTTTAGTTAAATAATATGCTGCCAGATGTGTCACTTGTAGGCCGAATTTCCTCTAAGAAGCTGCTGGTTGTTATGAGCTTTAAAGTTAGTTTCCATCGGTAGTTTAGAGGCTTTAAATGTAGAATAACATGTTAAAATGTGGTAAAGTTAAAGGCGGTTTGGTGTGTGTGTGTGTGTGTCCGCTGTTAGAGGATGGCCACTCCGAGTAAAACTCCACCTGGAGCCGACCCGAAGCAGCTCGAGCGCACAGGGACGGTCCGAGAGATCGGCTCCCAGGCGGTGTGGTCCCTGTCCTCCTGTAAACCTGGTGAGTGTGTGTGTGTGTGT